AGCGTGTGAAGATATATATCATCCTGATCGATGAGGGTGGACCCTAAATCTAATGCCATGTGCCCTTATAAGAAAGAAAAGAAGGGGTGTTAAGATGTCTCACCCTTAGGCACCCTGCTGTGAAAAAAATCTCCTGGAAGTTGTCCTCTGACCTCCACATGCCAGCTGTGATATGAGCATGCCCACATACAGAATTAAATAAAGAGGGCAAATGGAGGAAGAGAAACAGAGCAGTAAAGGTACAGGAAAGTATGAGGAGGGGCCAGAGCAGAGCACCCTGAGCCCCTGGAAACCAGGAGAGGCGAAGAATTCGCCCAGGGTCTCCAGAAGCCCGCAGCCCTGCCACTGCCTTTGTTTTGGCCTCCAACACCGGAGGCAAAGAGAATGAAGTCCTGCAGTTGGGAGCCACCAAGTTCGTGGTAAGTTGTTGTGGCTGCTATATCAAGCTAGTTCAGAGGTCACCAGCTTTGCATGGTTTCAAGGACAGGATTTCATAGCAGCCTCGGAAATCTGCCCCACAAAGGAGCTTGTTTGTACATCAGTCCAGGGATCCCAGGAACCTTGAGTTTCTTTCCACGAGGCAACCCCTGGTGTCTGGGCAGCCACTCAGTGGTGTAGGAGGGTCTTCTTCCTATGTGTTGCTTTCAATGGTTGAATTAAAAAAAACTACCTTGGCCTTTTGATAGGGCAGCCCTTAGGTGGGCGGAGTAGACAGAACAGAATGCTTGGAAGAAGGCAAGTGTGGCAGACGCCATGCTTCCCCTGCCCAAGACTGAAGCCGGTAAACCACGACTTCATGGTGAACACAGATTAATAGAAATGGGTTAGTCAAGATGCGAGAGTTAGCCAATAAAAGGTTAGAGCTAATGGGCCAGGCAGGGTTTAAATGAATACCATTTCTGTGTAATTATTTCAGGTGTAAGCTAGCCGGGCAGGACAGAACAAAGGGCCTGTGCTCCTCTTGGGCGACGGGACTTGGCCTGCTCCTTCCTACAACAGATCTGGATGGTTTCTGGCGGTCTTGCCAGTCTTCCTGAGCTGCATTGCCAGAGCTGATGGCCACCAAGCCTGCTTCAACATGAAGACTCACCCCCAAGTTACTGTCCTATCTCATCCCCACGGGACAGATGCTGCCAGTGACTCCTGTAACTACCGACCTGGGCATTAACTCAGGGGTTGTCTTCGGGGGTAGCAGCCACTATGTTTGTAAGTCAGTAAAATAGAGAAAGACAGTGGTAGCCTTAGGCTGGCTTTGGTAGGTGTCCTGTGCTGGGTGGGGAGGGGAAGCTCTCTTACCCTGTATTAGATACAGAATGTCTCATGAACCTTGGCAGCTTAGATAAACTCAACAAAATCCCTATTCTGTTTCATGACTTAAGTCATTAGATTTCATCAATTAAACTGTGTTTATTATTTGTTGTCTAGCTTCATCTCTAGCCTTGTCTGGTAACTTTTCTCTTTTCACCCATTTGGATTGGGATATTTTTAGGCTAAATTCACCTCCTTACAAGCAATACCAGAGTTTATAAAAAATAGTTTTAATAGAAGTGTAAGCACAGGAATTAAAGAATAAAGAGAGATACTTAGGGAAGGGATGGCACACACTGTGTTCGTTACGTTCTTTACTGCTGAATGAAATACCTGACTGAAGTAACTTCAGGAAGGAAGGGTTTGGGCTCAGAGTGTCCGCACAGTACACCATGACGGGAAAGTCACAGAGAAAGAACAGGAGGAAGCTGGCTGGCATGTCCGGTCAGGGAACAAAGAGGATGAATGTTCTTGGCTTACTTTCCATTTGGGGACGCCAGCCTGGGGAATGGTACTGCCCACATTCAAGGATACTTCTCTTACTTCAGCCAAGCTAATCTAGAGTCTCTCTCCCAGGCGTGATCACAGATTTGTTTCCATGGTAATCCCATCAGGTTTTGAAGTGATACCGTCATCGTCCAAGTGCATTTGGACTTCTCAAAATAGCTACCTCCTCTAAGCTATTTTACAGGTGGCTCTGTGTCTTCATTGTAGCAGGATGGTTAATTTTATGAGGCAAATCCACTGGGCTACTATAGGATGCCCAGACAGACAGTAAAGCACTATTTCTGGGTGTATCTGTGGGGGTATTTCTGGAGCTGATTAGCTGAGTCACCGATGGCTTCCCCAGCGTGGGTGGGCACCATCTGGAACACTGAAAGTCTGAGTAAAGTCAAAAGATGGCGAGGAGCCATTTGTGCTCTTTGCTTGATCAGGGTCAGCCATCTGTCTCCAGATGTCAGTTCTCCTGGGTCGGGTCATGTCTAATTAAAACAAAATAGCTGGAGTGCTGGTTAAGATGCTGTAGTGCTGAGCCCCTAAAGTAAATTTGTCAATGGAAAAGATGAAGAGATACATAGATAGATAGATAGATAGATAGATAGATAGATAGATAGATAGATAGATAGATAGATATGTTTCCAAGTTATCAAATTAAGAGAGGGGCTGGAGAGGTGGCTTAGCAGTTAAGAGTGCACACTGTTCTTACAGAGGATCTGGATTTGGTTCTAAGCACTCAGGTCAAGCTGCTCATAATGGCCTAGAACTCTACTTCCAGGGGATCTGAAGGTCTCTTTTGGCCCTTACACAAATGTTAAACACACACACACACACACACACACACACACACACACACACATCTTTAAAGTTAAAAAAAGAGAATTGTGATAAGCATGTTATTAATCAAAAGGGTCCTTGTGTTATAGCTGAAAAAGAACACACGAACACATTTTTATTCTAAGAAGTGACATGAGGCTCAATCATAATAATGTGAGCCAATAGCTAATTAGCATTTATAACTGCAGTTACTAAGATCATGTTTCAATTTCATAGTAAAGAAGTCGAGGAATCAGTTAACAAAGATAAAGCGAAGGGAACGTACATGTGGTGTGCCCATCGTGACCCTAGAAGGTAAGATGGCGGTGTGAGTGAAAGTTCTGGTCCCCAAAGCATAGAGCATAGTGTGTTGCGATGTCAAGCCAACCCAACAAGAACACTCAGAAAGGCTGGGTCCAGAGTTCTCAGCTTCCCACCAGAGCTACCGAGGAAGCAGGTTATCTCCCCTGGGAACTTTTCAAGGCAGCCTAATAGAAATGAATGAGAGAGGGACTAGAGAGATGGCTTAGCAATGAAGAGCATTGACTGCTCTTCCAGGGGACCTGAGTTCGATTCTCACCACTTTCATGGTGGCTCACAACCGCCTGTAACTCCAGTTCCATGGCATCTCTTCTGGCCTCTGAAGGCACCAGACATACACGGTACACAGACAATGTTGCAGACAAAACACCGGTGCATGTAAAACAAACCAAAAGAAAATTTCAATTTGTAAAGGAATAACAGAGAGCACAAGAAGCTGGGGAAAGCAAGCACACTAAGTAAGAATCACTTTGTGTCATGTTTTAGAAAGAGGCTGGGATGCATGGGCCTGGTGTGGTTGTAAAAATTGATTCAGGAAGACAGATAACTTGAGACTTGGCATGCTTTCCTTCCCCAGATTTGGCAGGTTAAGAGGCCTGAAATGCAGCAGGTAAAATGAGCCAGCAGCTCAGATCTACTCCAGCCGATGTGCACAGGTTTCCTGACATCGTTTTGTCATGCCTCCCATTTACTCAGGGGACATGATCTAGTCTTGTCTTGATCAGACTTAACAGCCTCCTTGTTCCCTAAGAGCCCTGAGTGTTCTAGTTAGTTTATGTCAACTCGACACAAGCCTAGACATATCTGGGAAGAGGGAACCTCAGCTGAGAAATTACTCCCACCAGATTGTCCTCTGGGTAAGTCTGGTGAGGGCCAGAGAGGGATTAAAGCACAGAGTGGAAATAGAGGAAGACACCTAAGAAGGCAGAGCAGAAGGAAAGAGGATCTGTATTAGAGTCGCGGCATTAGGAAGGCTGAGGACCACTGGTCTAAAGTGTTCTCCTCTCATATTTATCACAACAGTTGGAAAGCAACTAACAAGCTACCCCAGAATAGAAGTTACTAATGCATTCTGTATCCACATTGGAGGCCTTTGCGCCCCTTCCTATCTGATGTTTCGTTTTAGACTTTCTGTGATTCCCAAGATTTGGAATAGAAGCCCAGGGCTGGGAGTTTCACCGTTAGCCAAGGTCAGGGCCTGATACTGTGCTGAGCATATCACTGGCGCTCAACAAATATAAAATGAACAAACTATAACCTGGGTAGCCAATGAGGCTGTGACAAGCTTCTGGGTCTGTGGAAGCTACAGAAACTCAGCTGCTTGTAGAAATTCTTCCTTAAGACAAGCAGCAGCCATCAGGATACATAACATCCAAGTTTTGTTATGTTTATTCAAACTCAGATATAAAATAGTAGGTGTATTTTGGCCAACACCATCAAGTCCCACCCTTAAAGTTCTGCTGTTTACAATTTATGATTTTCTTCGTGGTAACCTCTGCTATTCTTTCCCCCACTCAATGTTGTCTCAAACATTAAAATACATTTGTCTGCAAATGACAAGTGCCTCAAATAATGGCTTTCCATGCCTTCCCAATTTGACTGTTTTCTTTTCTCTGCCCTTCCTGAGTAACCAGTGCGGTTAGACAGCTCATCCACATATATTTCCATGAAGAAATGTGTGCAGGCCAAAGTGAGTCTCCTTTTACTGCGGTACGGGAGAGCATGTCCTAGATGTTCCCCAAGCCAAAGCACCATATTTTTCTGATGCAAGCAGGGCAAACTTCTCTTTTTTAAGTGAGGAACCTGCTTTCTCTCTGGCTACATCCTTGAATACAAATCCCTTGAAAATTATTTTTCAAGTTCCAAGGTTCATTAATTTAGTTGAATCTGTTCCTGGGTTTTAATTAAATCTGTGTTTCTCCCAGTAACCTTTGGAGAAAGATAGCAGCCGCATCATCATATTGGAAAGGACAGGATTGCAGAGCAAGACACACATGAAAGCGAAGGACAGAAATGAGTAGGCAGGGTTCATATAAATTTATTTTTGTACCAAAAAATTAACATTCAGAGACAATGCTTTTATTGTACAGTATAATAAAATAACATTCACTAAATTAAAAAGTGGATTGTTTTTCGATGATAAACCGCAATACTTTCTCTATTTAAAAAAAGAAACAACATTTACAATTTGTAGCTCTTGTAGAGAAAGACACCTGTTCAATAATTACACAAATACTCCTGACAGATTTCAGTAGCCTGTTATGCATCCTTTCTTGGCTATGTCAGCTCCTACAGTCAACTAGCTTCTAAATTTGAAAGGCACCTGGTGACCAACATCCTGCTTGCTATTCAAGGTATCCATTTTAATTTTTTTGTTTGCATAGGCTTGACAAGTCTGAAAACTCTATTAAATTAAGAAGAATGAAGAAATCAACTACATGTGGTTGCCCGAAACAGTATCCTTCCCCTTAGCGACAAGTTCCCTCAGGGGAGTTACAAAGTGCAGCAGTTAAACACGTCCTGTACATTTAAACATTAAATATGTCAACAGTGAGGCATATTTTAAATATTTTTGAATCAAATACTATAGCACAAATATAATTTACAATATTCTCCACAGAAAACATTACACCTGAAATATAACTTTAGATATTATATAAAAATACATATATTTTTCTCTCCTCATTAGAAAAAAGAAAGTACTTCTTTGCAGGTTCCAGCATGATGTAACAATTCAAGAGAACTTAACCCTTCAAACCATCAGTTGTCTGCAATGAAATGACGCCCTCTTAACTTTGAGGTTCTCAGTGGCACACGGCTAGGAGTTAGATCCAGAGACTATGACCTCTTCACTTCATAAGCATCATTATACATCTTCCAGTCTGATTTAATTACGAAATTATACAGCCACTGTGTAACCACCAGGAGTCCTGCTGACTTTACATAGGCATGGCCTGTCCAGGGTCAAGAGAGAAGACCATGAGTTTTGTACAATGTGGGCCATGCCTCTTAGTAGTCTTACACACCTATATACATCTTCCACTTTTGGAAATGTTTCCAAGCATCTAGGACGTACAGGCGAATGTGCCACAGAACGGGTTTCACTCTATGTCTCGAACTTTGAAAGCTCCAAAGTAGGTCGCATCTTGATCCGGATCCAGCAGAAAGGGGTTGGACACCTGAACGCTGATTTCCTCCCCGGCTCGGAGCTTGAAAAACCCTCCAACGTTTATGGAGTAAAAATGGAATTCAGAATTCCCTGACCAGTATTTGGTGCTTCCGCCCTTCATCAGGTTTTGATAATTGGGGATTTTGATGCTGGTTTTAATGACATACACCATCAGCTGAAGATACTTTGCATCTAGGTCCCCCGATGTCTCGTGATGCCGGAAGCAAATGTTAGCGTACAGGTAATAGAAGCCATCTTGATTAACCCTTAGCTTTCCGTTGTTTAAAGTCATGTTGGAGATCTTGGCCCAGCCCCGATCGTGGTACCAAGAGGACAGACTGACTTTATGGGAACCTACAGAGGACAGAGGCACAGATTTAGAATTTACTTCTTGGATTAAAAAAAAAAAAACTTTCCTCATCTTTTTTTTTTTCATAGGATGGTGGAAGAGTGTTATGTGCTAACACTACAGTCTTTATTCTAGCATGGTAACTTACCTTGATACTCATTTTCTATATGGGGATGGGTGCATTCAACTGAACTTAACGCTTTCTGTGCTGTCCACTGGAGGTGCAAAGCAAAAATCCTCTATTCTTGCCTTTGAGGAAGCTACAGGACACGAGCAATGAGTGCAACATGGTTCAGAAAAGAAGCAAAGCTTGGAGGAAGCGCATAGGATTTCTATGAGAAAGGGGGGAGGTTATTTCCACACAGAGGGGTCAAAACTGACTCCATGAAGATGCTACAATGCCTGGAAACACACACACACAAAAAGAGAAGACTGAGCCCCGTGGAGGGGAGAGGTTCCTTCCAGGTTGAAGAGGAAAATTAGCCAGAGTCAATTCAGACAGGAAAGAAATCAACTTGGACAGGAAGAGAATTTCCATCTGTCACATAACTTAACCTCCATTCACAGACAGGAGTCTGTAGAAGGATGTAAGAATCGGGTCAAAGAAGCTATGGGTAGGCCAGTTCCACCTAGGTCACCATCTACTATCCTCACGTTAGCCAGAGTCACACAGCTGAGAGTCTATCCCCAGAGAAGCTCAGACACAAAATGTCCGAGCTCCTCAACTTCATGCAATTCCATATCTAACATTGTTAAATCATTGCCTGGTTCCATGTTTTCCTACAACCCCTTCTCGTCCAGAAATGAGGCGATGAGGGACGTCCATGCTATTGTTTCTGGAGAAGTCCACATTCTAGGGAACATTGTAAATCAGCCATATACCCAGTGTTTTTCATACTCCAGGTCTTTGATGTACATTACCGGCTCTTTAAAAATTGGGGATATCCATAATAAATCAAATTATGCAATATGTATACTTATGTGGATATTAATTATTCTACCAGAGAAAGTGGTAAACTCAGAGGGTAAGGGTTTATGGAAGCATGGGAAGGTCCAAAACCACATCTTCCCTCCGAGGATTTTATAAAGAGTTGCACCAAACTCACAGTGCCATCTCTCTGGAGCCAACAGGACAAACATAGTCAGCCGGTCTCAGACTAGGGGAACAGGGAATAATTTGTTTCTGCAGTATAAAAACTTTGTTGGGTGCCATGCTTCCTACAGCTTGTTAGTATTGAGATGGTAAATGACAGAAATCAGTCAGGGAGCCCCAGAAAAGGTAAGTATTACAAGGTCTTGCTCATGTGCAGAACCTACAAGATGCGTGCATGCGCTTGCACACACACACACACACACACACACATACAACCATGCAAATAGAAGGGGTGTTATTTGGGAATGAGTTTGACGGAAAGTGAAAAAGGTCGAAATACAAGATATACTTGAACAAAAATGTTATTATGGTTTCAACATTATGGTTTGCAACAATATACTTAAATATTTTTTAAGAATAAAAAAAAATAGGGGCTGGAGAGATGGCTCAGTGGTTAAGAGCGCTGACTGCTCTTCCAGAGGACTCTGGTTCAATTCCCAGCACCCACATGACAGCTTAAAACTGTCTGCAATTCCAATTCCAGGGGACCCGACATCCATGACAAGATACCAATGAATATAAAAACAAATAAAAAAGAATAAAATAAATAAGCACAGGGACTAACACTGAAGTCACCACCTCATCAGCTAGATTCCAAGTCATGAAAGTTGACAACTCTCTGGCTTGGTGGCTCTAAGGAGATCTATGTATTAATAATAATAATAATATTAACAATGATAATAATACCACCTATACTATCGATCTTCCCACAGTACCCTGAGTCCTGGGGGGACTTGAACACTTGTATTCTTCCCTAGAGAGTCAGAGGATGAACCAGAGAATGATCTGTAGTCTCTTCGATGTGATCTGAGGACCTCCAAAACAAGCTACTGCAGAAATCAAACAGGAGATGGAGAAAGTGGTGGTGGTGGCAATAAGGCAGTAGCCCATCTCCAGTAGGACAACCCATCATTAAATAATCAAAAAAAACAAGGTTCCAGTGTTCAAAGAGGACAAACAACACAGCAGGGTGCTACAGCCCAGCCAGTCACCAGCCTGCGGGCACTGGAGAGCAATCTTCTTTGTTCCCACTGGAGGTCTTAGCTCAGCTCTGGAGTCTAGTGCCCCAAATGCAAATACCACCCTAGGATCCCAAGGGAGTCAACATGAGACTGTCAAAGTCTGCTCAGTACATCATGGTGTGGGAGAATTGTCTGTATTCTGTCAATCATGTTTTAAATAAATGCTGATTGGCCAGGCAGGAAGTATAGGTGGGAAAACCAGACAGGAAGTAGAGGTGATGCAATGAGAACAGGAGAATTCTGGGAAGGAGAAAGCTGATTCCTCCCAGTACAGCCCAGACCACCGAAGAAGTAACATGACCTGCCCCGCTGTGAAAGGTACCGAGCCATGTGGCTAACATAGATAATAATAATGGGTTAATATAAGTCATAAGAGCTAATAAGAAGCCTGAGCTAATGGGCCAATCAGCTTTTAATTTATGGAGACCTCTGTGTGATTTTCTTTGGGGCTAAACAGCTATGGGGTATCGGGCAGAACAGAAACCCCAACAAGCAGGCCCCTCATGTTACACATCATCAGAAAGGCTGACATGTTGACTCCTCCAGACTGCTCCATGGCCACCTAATCCCTGGGCAGAGCTTAGGAAATTAAAAATATTCCCATCTCAAGTTACTCCATTTTGTCCAGCTTCTTACCCATTCCTATACTACATTTCCTTTCATTTGATCGTCACATACAAGTTAAATTACTAAAGTGAAGTCTCTTCTTCCTATGGAACGGGCCCACTTATGTTGGAGTGAGATAAGGGCCAGGGAGGGCAAGAATGTAATACAAAATAGTGGTGAGAATAGATCGGAACCTGGATAGAGTACCATCCCTATAGTTCAGTGTGTCTGAAGCAGCCTCTATATTATAATGTACTCTCTGCTTTTCTCCATTCCTGTTCTCAAGTACCGATTCCTCCTGGTGATCAGACAAGAGGACACCCAATATGGTGCTTTCTATTTCTGCCTAAAATGAAGAATGACTCACTCTGTCCAAAATTAAGATTTTTTTTACCAAGTAGGTGGCCCTTGGGATGCTCACCACCGATGGCAGAGAAAATAAGTGAGCATATAAAATATGATTTTTTTTCCCATTGCTATTGCTGCCTGCTGGAAAGAGCAATGTTTGAGATCAGTGACAAGGGACTGAACAAAAGAAGCTGCAGAGATCCGTGATGTCAGCCAAGCTGAGCTTGGCGAGACAGAAGAACCGGAAAACTAGGAAGATTCAAGTCAAAAATGGGTTGAGGACAGGGAGCATATTGTTGGCCAGAAAAAACCCAGTGGGGTATCCAGCAGGCACACAGGTGAGTGTCTAGAAAGCCAGAGAGCAGGAACAAAGAACTCACCAGAAGAGAGCAGTGGGGCATAGGTGGGGAAGTGGCAAGGTGAAGACCTGCCCAGCAGCCAGGATTTCTATTGCTAATGAGGCATGCTGAGGGCCTCTTACCTGAGCCCCATTGACCTCTCCAGCTCTGGGCTGGGCTCCCAGCTGCAAGATGTTGGACCAGGCCGGACCTCAGCAAACATTTAGCCTGCCCAGCTTCCTAAGGAAAAGCCCAAGTCCTGACCCCACACCCAAAGACTAATACAGTTGCCTGGAGAAACTTTTGAAACTGCAACACGGTCTACATAGGGCAGATTCTGACGGACTGTGTATACGAATAAATATATAGCGGCGCTCCAAAATAAAAACAGCAAGGGAAAGCCAACTTCCTCGGAATCTTTCAGTACCAGCCGGCGTTGGGGGAACAATGGGCTAGCGGGGCTGTTGGCCCAACCAGAGCCGCTAACTCCGTTTTCTTAAATGGAACCACAGAGCGGTTCATTTCCCTGCACCCTAAACCAAATAGCTGTCGGAACACAACCAGGAGCTCCGCCTGGAGTTTTGGCACGGGTTAAATTCTAGGTGCCTGCAGAAGAAGCTTTATAACTAAAACACGCTCGCCGTTGCCAAGCCGACGTTGGCACACCGTCGCAGGCAATATTTATCCTATGCCATTTAAAGTGAACTGAAAAGATAAATGTAGGGTACATTCACGGTACACGCAGCCCAGGCACTGGTATTAATTTGATTGTCTTTGTGAACATGCAAACTAGTTTTGCCACTCAGGGGAAATTAGCGTCGCTCCCCCACCAGGCACACAAAGACAGAGAGCTATGTGGATCAGAACATGCAGCCTAGAGAATCTCCTAACAGCTCAAGAGTTGGTTCCTCACCTTTTGTATCTTCAATCAGAGCAACAATAGCAACAACAAAATTCTCTCTATGGCATATGCTAGGTTAATGGCTCAAAATTATTTATTAAAAGATGGGCTTTCATTACTTACAAAACTCTAAAACGTTTAAACTCAAAAAAAGAAAAAAAATCCTACCTTAAGTCATATGTAGAATAAAATGGAATTTGCATAATGACTTAATCAAGCTCAAATAACAATTGTAAATCACATCTGGTGAGTGTACTATGCCTCCTTCCACCCAAAAATATAGCATGTATAGCTTCCCCACAACGTGGATATTACTTCTAATAATATCCTGTCTTATTACTGTAGCTGAGGCACAGATCCCAGTACTGCATACAAGGTCACAAGTAGACATTAGAACCCTAGTCATTAGACAGCAAACTAATCCATTTCTGCAAAAAATATATATGGCCCTTGCATTACTTCCTTCTGAGAAAGCCACCCTACCACAGGTGCCTTGCAGCCTGCTTCTAGGAAAATACCCAGCACCCGCCTGGGAACTAAGTAGAGTGGAAAGTCAACTTCTAATCTCGTTACCGCGGTGACGGTGACCTTAAGCAAGTGACAAACTATGCAAAGCCCCATCTCACTGAATAATCCAAATGGTAACTGCTACCTTGCAGTGAGGATGAGAACACACAGCAGAAGACCTAAGCCTAGGAGGTGCTCTGTATGGAGGACGCAGTAGCATTAACAGTGATGCTCAGTTATCACTCTCTCAGAACAGAGCTTTCACTGGGATCCTTGTCTTCCTTGCCTAGCCCATTGCTGAGGGAGAATTGTCTGTATTCTGTCAATCATGTATTTTAATAAAACGCTGATTGGCCAGGCAGGAAGTATAGGCGGGTCAACCAGACAGGAAGTAGAGGCGGGGCAATGAGAATAGGAGAAGGCTAGGGAGGAGGAAGCTCCCTCCGCCATTCCTGCCCAGATCACCGAAGAAGCAACATGTGAGCTGACAGCTGAAAAAGGTACTGAGCCACATGGCTAACACAGACAAGAATTATGGGTTACTGTAAGATGTAAGGATTAGTGAACAAGAAGACTGAGCTAATGGGCCAATCAATTTATAACCTAATGTAGACTTTGTGAGATTTTCTTTGGGACTTGCTGGCCGTGGGGTACTGGACAGGACAGATACCCCAACAAGTCGGCCCTCATGTTACAGTCCATGGTGAGTAGCCAGTAGAACTACGTGGTGCATTGAGCTCTGGGTCCTCATTTTCAGAAGTAATTGGGTCTCTGGCCTGTTAAACTAGATGTTTACCAAGGAGTGGAAGGACAAGCATGAGCAGAAGTGACAAGATATCTCAGCTTCCTGAAGACTCCTGTCATCTGCTAGGTGCCCCCACAGCCTTTCCCGAAGGAAAACTCTCTGGCTTGCTGAATGACGTCATCCACCAAGGAGGTCAGCCATTGGGATGCCTTTGGTACCAAGCTAATCTACTTCATGAGTAAAAACGCATGGCCACTGTCTTCCCGACTGGCCGGTACTTAAAAGAAACACCCACTTCCATGATCCAAAAATGAATACAGGGATGATGTGGTCTGTGACATGATTGACAGGTAGGGGTCAATTGAAGGGTTTGCCTCTTCCTTTCGGTTGAGAAGTCAAGACTCGAAAGTGTTAGTAACGGGCTACAAGTAGGTTTGAGCATGTCCAGGGGTTGAGGGCTGAAAAACTGAAATACGTTTTCAGGCAGAGCGTAAATATAACTTACCCTTGGGGATGTTGGCAGCATCAATGGTGAGGTGAGCGAAGGGCTGCATCTCCGACTTGCCCCGCTGAGCCAGATCGAACAATGAGCCTTCCATCATAGCTGCGGATGACAGAACCAGGTGAGCTTAGAGATTCCAGACTGTCCGGGACTTCAAACACTCATGCAAACTCGTGATTACCTGGCACTCCCGTGAAGCGCTGTGGTCCAACGATATGTTGTAATTCCTGAAATGAAAGAGAATTTTATCCATCAACTCATTCTTTTGGTAAAGTAGTAAAAAGACGTAGGATTACCAGATGTACAATCAGCCAGTTTGTTTTACAATGTGGGAGCAAAGTCCCTGCATCTCGTATTCCTAGATTCTGAACCCCCAAAACACTTAAAAAGTCCAACACACACATACACACACACACACACACACACACACACAGAGTCAAACAAACCTTTGGGGCAATAAAAAAAAGCAAGAGACAAATTAACCTGTAAAACCAAATAATTGAGCATAATTTTTTTTAAAAAAAATCTGTAACAGGTATACAAATGGAAATGAAGTAAGTCAGAAAAGTAACAAATGTACAAAATGCACAACTCTCTTTGGTTAGCAAGGAGCCTCCTTTTGTGTAAGTCAGTAGTGAATTCCTACTATAATGCAGAGGCTTAGCCTCTGGTTCACTCAAAAAGTGATTTGTTCTTGGTGGTGGTGGTGGTGTTTAAAGTCACAGTATATTTAAAGTATATACTTTAAATATAGACTATATGAAGGTCTAAGAGCTTTTAGTATGTCAATAATAATTAACTTAAAATTCTGTTGCAAATAAGTCTAGATGCATAGGCCAGGAAAAGGATGTATACAGGCAAATAGATGGCAGAAATTGCATATTTAATTTGAGCTCACAAAATGAAGTCTCCAACAAGTGACCACATGCTCCCCTAATTCAGACATTAGCTACTGTGAAATGTCCCATAAGGGAGAGCAGGTCAACGCTCCAGCTTTCTCCTTGGTTCAAATCTTGCGGCTTAAAGAGCAGCCTGCTGGGAAGGTCGGATGAGATAATGCAGGCAAGTATCCAGCTGTGTGCCCAGGAAAGTCAGATACCTAGATGCTATCAGCGCAGGACAGTGTCCTCGGTCCCTCACTAGAATCAACATTCCTGCTGACCACCCACCCCTCCACGACGTCTAAAGGACAGGCCATGTAATGAGAGCTCTCCCTATCCAGACAGAGAGGCTTTCACCTATACAGTAAGGCCATCAAGTGGGCAGACGGAATAACCCAAGTTCAACCCTTAGTAATGAGAAGCCACCTGGAGGTAACATTGGTTCTTCCTTATTCTTCTCTCCACCTTCAGTGCCCTCAAAGGAGGTAAGGATCTCGTCTGTTGTTCATAACTTGTATAATGGAGCAGCAGGCGCCCACCCGGCTAGCTTTACCCGAAATAATTACACGGAAAACTGTATTCATTCAAACACTGCTTGGCCCATTATCTGTAGCCTCTTATTGGCTAACTCTTACATATTGATCTAACCCATTTCTAATAATCTGTGTAGCACCACAAGGTGGTGGCTTACCAGGAGGATTCTAACCTGCGGCTGTCTTGGAGAGGAGAGTCATGGCGTCTGTCTCATTGTCTTCTTCCCAGCATTCTGTTCTGTCTACTCCACCCACCTATGTTCTGACCTATCAGGCCAAGCAGTTTCTTTATTAATTAGCCAATGAAAGCAACAGAAATACAGAAGCCTCTCCTACATCAATAACTCTTGGAGAATCCACAGAGGTTATATAAGGTCAGTCTCTGCCCTGGCCTACGCTTGGGTCCTTGTACAGCCTGAAGCCCGCTGTAGGGAATTTTAAGCAGATGGTGGTCCCTTGCATTGAACAATGTGATGGCTCTCGGTCATCTTTCTGTCCCTCCCCACTTCTGCTGACCTCCAGTCTCACAGGTCTCCTTTCAGGATTCTCAATGGTGTCCCAATTTCTGGAATTTCCTGGTTTGGCTCACATGACATTCACACTACGAATTAGGTGTGTGTGTGTGTGTGTGTGTGTGTGTGTGTGTGATTATGTATATAGAGATACATATATACAAAATTATGTATATAGAGATAAATACATACAAAATTTTGTGTATTTACATATGCATATATACAAAATTATGTATATATACACATATACACAATTGTGTATATGATTATGTATATAACTATATACTTAATCATACATAGTATTCATACATATTTTTCACTCAGTAATTATACAATTATACATAGTATACTTTAATAACTACATATATTCTTATGCATTTATATATACACATACTCATTATACATTGTAACTTTATATGTTTATATATACAGTGTCTCTATATCCATTGTGTATATCTACACATAGATATCACATACACATACTGCATCTTTACCTGATTAGAATAGGCATCTTAGAGCAGAGCTGTATTCTGAGGCGTACAGCCATGCCCGCATTGTCCCCCAGCTCTGATTCGCACCACTGACAGGAGAGTAGATGTGTGTCACATCCCTACAGAGCTCTTCCCTGATTTTCTACACACTCGGACTCCACGTGGAGAAAAAATCAAGGAAAATGTCACTGTGGCCAGTGCAGTGACTCTCAAAACTGAGAATGGTGCAAGCCGACCTCCAGGAGGATGAGCGTGTACCAACTGCAGGATCATGCCGTCTGGGTCTGAGATGCAGGGGATCTACGCTGGATTCTCAAATTTGGATTTCTAACAGACGGGCAGCTGCTATAGCCTCGGCTACTGAGACTGACAAATCTCCTTTGCAAGGGTTTCTGCATGGGCAAATGAGGAATTAGCTCAGACTGAGACCCAGCCCAAGGCAGCAGACCAAAGCCCCTGATGAAATGGGCGGGGCCGTCTTTCTCCCTCTCTGCTGGGAATGCACTTTCCTTGCCCGTTTCATCAGCAGCTTCTAGGTCAGAGCTGCCACAGATCCATTTAGTTACAAGAAAATTCAATAAATAGCACCTCTCAGAAGCACTTTCAATGCCTGCTGTCAGGGGAAAAAAGGGTTCATGTCCCAGGATGAATCAGACCTCTCGTTAGAGACCCAGGAGGTAATGCTTTTGTATTATTTCACTAGAGAACCCAAGAATTGCAGTTCCTCTCAGAAATTCGCTAAGGACGTTTCAATACCAAAAAGGGATCTTACGATGAAGCTGTGACCTCAGGTCATGCACAAAAAAACACTGTGCGGAGCATGTATGTCTCCGCCCCAATCTTCTGAGCCTGAAAGTAATTGCTATTTATGGTCAATCGTAAACATACCAGTCTAAGTCTATAATTTTAAGCTGTCTTCGAGCATTGAAATTGTAAAAAGATACGTACATACGTACACACATACGTACATACATACATACATACATACATTCTTAGCTGAAGGATACCTGCCATGCAACCATAAAGGTCTGCGTTAGATTCCTAGAACCCATGTTTAGTTTGTTTATCTATTTGTTTGAAAAAAAAAAAACCAGGAATACTAGACATGGACGCGCCCTTGTTATTCCAGCTAATACCAGCACTCACAAGCAGGTCCTTGGAACTCTCTGGGCAGCCAACCTAGCCTAACCATCATATCATTCTCCACGCCAATGAGAGACCCTGTGCTCATAAACCAAGGTGGATTATTTCTGAAGAACAAAACCCCCAAATGGCCTCTGGCTCCTACACACATGTACACACGTACCCACATACAAGTGCACCCTTGCACATGCATGTGCATGTGTGGATGTGTGTGAGTACGGATACGCATACAAATTTCTTGTAGGTAGAACTCAATTGTATCTCAGTGTGGGGGGGATGCACATGCATAGACACACAGACATACATAGACACACATACACACACACATGCATAGATATACATACTCATACATAGACACATGCAAACACAGACAGACCAACTGACACACACATAGCCCTTGGTTCCCATAAGCTACCCAGGACAACAAGAATCTTACCTATGAGAGTTAATAAGAAACTTCACGAATGAATGAGCTTATTTATGGTCAAACTGAAACAAGTAGTCTTTTCAAAAAAATGTATTCATTTTTAGGTAAGCATACTTTAGGCCTAAATTATAATAACTTCCTCTAACAGAACAACTAACAGGAACAAAACAGAAAGAAAAGAGAAAACTGAATCAAGCAGGCAGCCAAAGAAATTGCAGCCAAGACTAAAGAAACCTTCAGACACAGTGCCACCTAGTGGACATTGCCTCAAATTGACGTCCCCTGAACCACCACAGGCAGGCTTTCAGGTTTTCAAGTTGGAAAGGACCAAGTTTCATATGAGTGTTATCTCTCGAAATAGATTGCATTAATTTTTCAAATTTTCTGTCAGAGTACATATGCAGAGAGAGAAAAACAATCAATTCAGGTTTTTTTTTCTTTCTTAATTACAGCTGAGCTTAAGTCATAGGAAAAAAATGTTTAGATTTCACAATCTCTCCTCCGGGGAGCAAAGCACACAGAAGACCAATTGATTGTGTAACTGTGGTCTTCACTATGGCCTCCACTCAACTTCTCTTAAACGGGACATCCAAGAAGTGCAGTTCCCAGGAGTGTAATAGGGAAACAACCCGTACTAGGGCTCCAATCCCTTCGGACCCCCGCATGGCTTTTTAAATGATTTAGGAATTTCTTTTGCAAACTCAGGGAAAAGCTGCTTTTCTTGAGAAGTCAGAGCCACTTAGGGGAGGCCACACTGAATAAGAATAAATATGGACTCTGAGTTGTATTTTAAAGTCCTTAATTGGATATAGGAGTTTTGCTCCACACAATTTACCCAATCTCTTCTTCTTCTTTTTTTTAAAAGTTGATTATATTGAGCTATACGCTTTTCCCTGTTCCCCTCCCTCCCTCTTCCCTCCCCTTCAACCCTCTCCCATGGTCCCCATGCTACTAATTTACTCAGGAGATCTTGTCCTTCTCTACTTCCCATGTAGATTAGATCTATGTATGTCTCTCCTAGGGTCCTCATTGTTCTCTAGGTTCTCTGGGATTCTAATTTGTAAGCTGGTTTTCTTTGCTTTATGTTTACAAGCCACTTATGAGTGAATATATATATGACACCTGTCTTTCTAGGTTTGGGTTACCTCACTCAATATAATGTTTTCTAGGTCCATTCATTTGCCTGCAAATTTCAAGATGTCATTATCTTTTTCTGCTGTGTAGTACTCCACTGTGTAAT